GACGTGTGAAATCTCGGAAAATAGAGTTGTGTTCGAAATAATCACATTATAATTGTTTATGAAATCTCATCGGAAAATCGGTGCAGCTTCTTACTAAAAAGCAGACTCTTCTATTCGCGTATACAATAGCGTGCGATCGTAAGGTAACGAATCACATTCCCAGATTGTATTTAGATTCCATTGAAATTAGCGGTTTCAGCGAAATTAGATTAGCGGCTTCGGCGAATTAAGCGAGAAATACCGTAACAGCTCTTGCGTCATCCGGATGATGAGTTACAAGATTAGTCGTTAATTATAGTTGAACTAACGTAATCTTGATTTTGCGAGATTAGGGTTTTATCAAGATCTTTGGAAAAGATATTTGCTCCGATAAATGCGCATAAATTAAGGCACTGTAATGACTCTGTGTGTATCATATATCATATAATGATTACTTCTCACTTTATAGAAAAAATATTACATTTGGGATAACAAATTGTACAGTTGAAAATTTTGTTTACTTAATTTAAACAACTTGGTCAGTTAAATTAAGGCCGATTAAGATCATAAACTATTGACCAATCACAGTCGAATATTAGAAAAATCTATGATTGATCAATTTCGTACGGTTTACCTGTCAAATCAGCCTAAGGGCTTGAGCGCAAAGATAGCCATAACTTAGTTGTGAAACGTGAATCGTAGTCATAGGTCAACACACAATGTTTGACGTAACTATGTATATACCGTATCGGTATGTTACACCAAAATATTGTATGTTGATCTACGAATCACGTTTCACGACTCAGTTACGATTGTCTTCATGCTGAGATCCTTACGGTTATCTTTGTGATGATCTTAAGCTATTATCTAAGTTTAAGTTTTAAGTCGTAAGAAATTGATTGATCATAGTCGATTCTTCTCGCATTCGACTGTGATTGGTCAATTTATTACGATTTAAGACTTGAAAAGCTTATAAGTTTTCTACGATAAATCATTAATTAATTAAGCTTTTAAGTCTTAAGCCGTAAGAGATTGATCAATCGGAATTGAATGTGAGAAGAATAATCGACTATAATTAATCAATTGTGACTTAAAACTTAAAGCTTACTCTCTAAATCTTTTGGAGTAAAATCTTACTGTAAAAAACTGAGTCAATTTTGAAAAAAGAGTAAATATTTTTACTCTTTGAAAAAAGAGTGGCAGATTTTCATTTTTTTTTAGAAATGAGATTATATATTCGTTTGGAGTGAATCCAAAAAAGTAAAATCTTTCTTTAAAAAAGGAGTGAAAATCTACCGCTCTTGTTCAAGGGAAAAAGTTTTTTTTTTCTTTTTTCAAGTCAAGCTCAATTTTTACTTCCAAAGATTTAGAGAATAAGTAATGGCTTATCGTAGAAAGTCCATTAGGTAATGGTTTACTATAGAATGTCTATTAACGACAGTATCGATGTTACATTCGATGTCGTTGCTCAAGTTTTACATGATACTCTCTAAAACTTTTAAAGTGAATGTCACTCTGAAAAAAGAATTTCGTTTTTACTGATTGAAAATTGATTTACTCTGTTTTTTTAAGAGCGGCACAATTTTCATTCTTTAGAGTGATTCCATTTCAAAAAATTTTGAGAGTAAAAAAAAACTGCGCAACAATATAACGATACTGACATTGTCGTTAAGAATTGCAGAATAGCAGCTTTAAGAGCTAATTGATAATCGAAGTTCGCAATGGTTTGCAACTGCAGGGAAACTTGGGATAGAATACATAACGACAAAGAGCCAAGATTCATCTCCTTCAAAGAGATGAAACTTCCGACTCCATTTTATCACTATCGTAGTTCTCCCTGGTTGAGGTAGCACAGTTGGAGATAACGCGTAACGATCGCTCACCATCGGTCTTTATCTACGTTGGCGCGGGCCATCGATATCCCGTGTGTGCCCAATCTCGAAACCGTGTTACGCGGTCCGACGAGCTGCCGCGTCCTTAATATCACCACCCCCATTCCACCTGCGTTCGCCAGGCGGCGAATGGTGCCAGGTGCAACGACTGGCCGACAGCAGAGCGACATTAAACGCCGTCGGCTGCCGCATTGCCGATGTCGTGCCGGCCGTAACCGCGGCACGCGGGGTACGTGCCTTTTCTCCCTCGTTCTCGGCCTCATCGGCTCCCTTCCTCCCTCTTCCGTGCACCCTCGACGGTGCAGGCCACCGACTTTCTGAACCTTAAGGGGTGGACGGCTTATCGACCTGATACCAGTCAGGCCTACCACCCTTAATCCCGTGTACTTCAATCACCTGTTCCAACAAGTTTTCGGAAATTGGACTTCGCTATTTCTTCGTTATCCTCCTTTGTGTTGAATAACATCCCACTGATTGTTCGGCTGGGAGATCACGGCTTTTGAGATGGATACATAGCTATATAAACATTATCTTGACGAGATCCCCAAAATAAGCAATTTTCGAAGCATTAGATTAGGAGATTTTATCAAGATATTATTTGGATTTCTTATATTCCTTATATAAGAAGAGAAAAATATCAGTTTTTTGTGACCAAATCCGAGAGAGCTTACCAAGTCTCGTTTCAATTATCTAAAATATATTGAAAGGATGTTTGATTCGAAGTTTTATTATGAGTTTATTGTAATTAAGAATATGGCAAACAAGTATCTAAAGATCAAGTCAGAAGATACGCCTTGTTGAAGCTTCATCATATCGCGTAACAAAATCTCTATTCCTCAAGATTGTCTTTCTCGTCGCACCATTTCCCGCTATCACCGTAGCAAGGTACAACCCAATTGAAACGAACCGCCGCAGTGATGACGGCAACGACGACGACAACGACAATAAACTGATAGGATCGCGATCATACGAAATTGGAGCGTCGCATTCGCGTGGCTTGCCGTGTCGAGACCCCTTTCCTGATGGTACATCAATAGGAATAATACGGAGAAGTACGCGATGCGGCGAAAGATACGTGCAGGTAGACCGGGGGAGTTTAACGACCCTACAACCCCCGCAAGTAGCGGGATCGATGGTCTCGCAACTCCGGGGGCGAACTCTCATCCGTGGCTCGGAGCGCGCGGCCCGGTTGTTTCCACCGTGGGCTGTGTCCTACTTTCCAATCATCACGTTTCGCCATCGCGCCGTTGTTGCTCTGTGGTCCTGCTTTTCACGTCGTGTCACGGCATTGCGCGACCTGACACCCCGAGACGGGTGTCTCGACGTTTCACGGATATGCGCCATGATACATGATCGACATAGTTCTACGCATTTGTTAGATCGTTACGAGTGAAAAATCCGATCCGCTTCAGATACCAGTATTAGTGCTCTTTAAATTTTTTGAAGTAGAATTTCACTCTTAAGAGAGAAAATTGAGCCAGTCTTGAAAAAGAGTGGCTCAATTTTTATCTTTACGAGTCAAATTTCACTCTTCAGAGTAAGATTCACTTTTAAAAGTTTTAAAGAGTATTTAAAAGCAAAAATCTTGAACAGTTTTTAATTTAAAAGCACACAATGATGTTAATGTAAAATCAATTCATCGTCGTGTATATATATATATATATCTCACTGTTTAAAACTTGTAGAATTAATTTCACTCCGAAGAGTCTCACTCTTAAAGTTTCAACATCAAGGCAAAAATTGACCTTTTTCAAAAATAGGTCAATTTTAGCTTTTTATAGTGATATTTCACTCCAAAACATTTAGAGAGCAACTAAAAGATATTTGTTAAATAAAATTTTCATATATAGGAATAATTTTTTCATATTCGAGTACTTCCTTAAATATCGTAATCAATTATAACTAATTTAATAAATCGAAAAATTATCGCACACTTATAAAACATTTTGTGTTTATTTCAATTTTGCGTTATATCATTACAGGAATATGCTGTTGTGTAAATGCTGTAAATGTATCAATTTATGCGGATGCTTATTGGTAAAAATTCTTAAATGGTATATAACTTAGGAATGAAACGTGCTACAAGAGCACAGATATGTAAACATTTTTTCATCGACCAGATCAAAATAAACCTTATATATATTTAATTGGAAAATATTAATATATACAATATATAAAATCGTTAATATTTTAATTTCGTGTTTTATTCAACAAAAAATTTTTTTTAAATAGACAACTTTTTGTATTTTATAATATGACTTTAATAACATTAGGCATCGAAAACCCTGTACCACATAATTGCAATTTTCGAAACAAAATTATATTAATTTTTATCTCCATACACATCATGATTTTTTGACAAGCGCTCATTGTAATACGATCTGCATATATGTGCAAACTGTTGGCATAAGCGTCGTATATGTATATTACAAAGTTTAAACATATTTTGCATAAATTCATGTAATACGATATTCATTAAAATTGTATGTATTTCTATCAAAGTATCCATGATTTATCATTTGATAACTCTTGATTTAATCAAGCATTATCTGCGAGTAAAAATTACGTATATTATGCGGCAGTAATATTTAATAACGTGCATAAAAAAGGAACGTGTACTTTTTCTTGGCCAATTCATTAAATCCATTCAATGACGTGATCAGATTTCTGTACAAGATTCCAATTAAAAGTATCTAACTGTATACGATTGCCATTATCTAAATATCTAAATATAATCATTTTCCGAGTTGGCGTAATTTTCTCATTAAGTAAAGCTCTATTTCTCTTTATAGATTCAGGATATTAGAAACTAATTTTAAGCTTCGGTTATCGCTAATTTGAGTCAAGTATTTAAATGGATTAATGATTTTGATTCGCCATAGTGTTTCTCTGGTTACTACTTCTATGCTAATAATGTACTAAAAAATTATTTCCACTTAACAGTATCTGTGACACTATTTAATAGTATCTTTGATACTCTAAACTCTAAAATAGTTTGTAATGTTATATACGTAAATTTGCAATATCAGTATTGAGTTTTACCGATTACCAAATTACTGAATTGCTAAAAAAGATCGCGATAACATTCTCTATCACATCTATCACATATTATGCATAATTAAATCGTAGTTCACGTCTTTACATGTCGAGATCAAATATCAGATCATTTTTAAATTCCAATTGAACTTCATCTTTTGCCGTTTTAATCGAAGTATCGGCTTGAACATCTTCGGTGAGTTTTTCCTCAAAGCTAGAATTACGCTTATGTAAAGAATGTTTATCGTCAGCATTCGATTTCACGATTTCAATATTGGCGGTTTTTTGTTGTTGCGAATCTCGTTTATCTCGTGCAAGTATGGGTTTTACGTTCTCGGAAGTTTCCTCATTCGGAGGCCGCTTATAATCTACTTTATATTTGTCACGCTCTTCGGTTTCAGAATTCTCACTTTCGCTTAGTCGGCGATCATGCGCGCGTTTCTTATTGCGCAGTTTACGTTGGTTCTTCTTTCGCTGCCCAAGAATACTCGAATTAGATCTAAAAAAAAAAAAGAAAATGATAAATTATGCGAATGGATTTATTAATATATTACTTGTCAAAGAAAAAAATGTGAAATTATAAGACAAAACTATATTTATATTCTTTTTTTCTTTTAGAATTTCACCATTTCCAATTAGTTCGATCGGTCGATTAATACCTATTTCTACTAATTCAGTTTTAATCTAAGTCTAAGAGGCTACGCAGAATAAAAGGAACAGAGAATAAGGATTTCAATTTATGAAATCATGTACTGTGGAATACACAGTTTCTGATAAGTTGAAAATCTCTGTTATTGGTTTCCTGTTCCTTTTATTCTATATAGCCCCTAACTCTTTATCTTTTCCTAGTTTTAAGAATCAGAGCAAGATCAAAAGATAAAAATTGACTCGAGATTAAAGTTAGTTTCAATTACGACTGGTCCATTTTACTTCATGACAAATGTGATTGATCATTTCAATGGAATAATCAGCCAATTAATAGCAGACGGTGAAACTTTTAAAAAGATAATTGATCTCTTGTTATAGTACCTAAATAACTGCCGTGAAACAACATCATTAAATCGTACAGTCTTTTTCAAACTGGAACAATCTGATTCAGAATTAATATCATGTATGGAATCGTAATGATCATCATACTGATAATCTGTACATGATGCAGGTAGACTGTTTTCGTCGGCACTGGATTCGGACATGGAACGTGAAAAATCGCGAGCGCGACGTGACTTTAATATTCCTTTCGAATGTCTCACACTGCCATTGCTGCTATTGCTTGCCAATTCATCTCCGCTGCTTTCTGAAACTGATCTAACTTTCTCAATGTGCTTTTTCTCTTGTCGCCATTTCATAACTCTTGCATTTTCCTCATGCTCTTCTTCGTCATCAGAATCCTGCTGATTTGGACTAATATTTATAACAATACCATCGTCTTGCGATTGTACGGATATTTGCCTTTCTACCTGAGGCTCAGCTTCTGGAGAGGACTGTAAAAATATTACTTGTTATAGATAATGTATAACATTCTTTTACATTTTAAAGTGTATGTAATACATTTATAATATTTTTACCATTAATTCTTTAAATTTGCTCGTAAATGACCCTACTGTAGGAAGATCTTTCCCTTCCATAAATTCTGTATCTATTCCAACAAAATATTGTGTTACATTCTCAATATCCTTCATTGTGATGTTAAAAATAACGTTATTGTCCCATGGTTCAATTGTAAGAGTTTCTGGTTCAATACAGCCATTTCCTATCTTAAGACACAATGAATAATGTTGTGGAAAAAATCCAGCACCCATAGATGTTAGCAAGATATGTATGCCTACATTATTATCTAAAATTTTATGCAGAATTGCATCTGGATTCACGTTTTTTACATTAATAATAACGGCTAATTGATTATTATAAATATTACAAGTATAAGCAGGAAGATTGTACTTAATATTAGGATTCATAAATATATCAATGATTTCTGTCTTAGTACTAGTCCGTAAAGCAGTATCTTCACACTTATCTATTACTTCACTTTTTTTATCCAATTCTATATTTTCGTACTCATTTTCGTACTCTTTCACTAATTCTATTTTTTTACTAGATACAATTTTTTCGTGGACATTATCCTTGGATATTAACGTAGCACTGTTTTGATCACTGTCAACTCCACTATCTGCTTTATCGGTGTCACTTACTGGTACCAATGACCGAATTACTGGTAAAGTTACAACTAATTTTTTGTACCTTGGATCAAATTTAGCTTTTCCATTCTCTCCGTCTACAGGATATGGTAATGGAAGATCCAGTAAATATTTTGCAGGTTTTTCGCTTTTCAAGGTAAGAGATTGTTCATATACATCAAGTGTTGTGTCTTTGCCGCTTTTCAACAAGGGCAAATATATAGTAATCACCAATTTTTTGGGGATTGCGGCAAACATCTTCGCGTCTCGGCTTAAAACAAAATCTTCCATTTCGACAGCGGACTGATGTTTCATAGAAAATTTAGGCGTAACATAGTTTTCATCTGCAGGCTTCTGTTGCTTGTCCTTGTAATAAGTGGTGGTTGGCGAGGCACGTTTCGGCTTTTCTTCCGTCTGCTTTAATTGACTCTCGCAACTTTCGTCGTAACTGGACATTATCTTCTGATAGATTTCTGGTTCCATATCCAATGATTTTGTAGGTGGTGTTTCTGAAGGTTTTCTGATCACTGTAGGATGAGCCATTCCTTTGAAGTTAATCTTAGGAAATTTCAAATTTTTCCTGTCCAACTTCACCTAGCAAGAAGAGAATACATATTAGAAACAAATATTACAAAACTAAAATTAAATATATTTTAGCTGATTTTTTTATACAGGTCATATGTCCTCTCTACGTTAAAAATAAAACCAAGAAAACAACATGATGCAGACAGTTTAACTAATGTTCATTTCTATCAACGTAGATTAACTTTAATCTCAGTTTGATTTACTTTTTATCATTTTCTAGTTTTAAAAATTAGAAAAAGATAAGAGTAAGCTGAATGGAGATCAAAGTTTATTTTGATGTAAATGGACATTAAAAGAACAGATCTATTACAACGCAAGCTGTAATAAATGCATTCAATCACTAGCACTACACTGGATCAGTACAATAAAGGTAGATATATATAAAGAATCTAAATATAGTGGCATAATAATATAACCGAGACACTACTGTGTCTCCAGATCAATTTTGACAATAAAATAATACATGAACATTCTGTTATACGATATGACAATATCATTGTTGCATATTTAATCATTTCAAAATTTATACGCTTTTACACTTAACTCTCCTAATTTCATATATAACAACTTTTAGTATGCACTAATCTGACGTAACACTGATGACGGATTTCGGTATTAGATATATGAACCTTAAAATTATTTTCTACGCCATCCATAGCAGTGTTATTGACAATCTCGCGAAACCGCGCATTCTTGGATGCCAAGTAGATGGTGTCTGGATGGAAGACCACGTCATACACCACGCATCGCACATTCTTCTTGTCAAGGTCATAGCGAGGTGGTATCAGCGTATACGGAATAGACCACTGTAGGCCACGGTGGCCCTGTTCGTAGGAAGGTTGACTAGTGGGACGCGCGACAACGTCGTTCTTACTGATGTTCAAAAAGCACTTCCTGTCGCCGTTCACGCTGGTCTTAATGACGTAACCGGGCTCGGGGTTAACGAACGTCACGTCTACGCCCCGCTCCTTCTCGAGCTGAGTGATCTCTTTCTCGTACAGTTTCCTGTTTTCTGGGTCGGCCACGTCCTCCGCGTACTCGATCAACAACTTGCGGAACTCCTCCTTTTTTAGACAGTCAGTTATGTTCTTCAATTCCTCTTGCGACACATTGAGATCCTCCCAATCTTTCCTGCGGTGCTCGTATACGTCCATCTTACGTCGTACGTGTTTACAAATAGACTCGTCGGTAGAAGGATCGCGAAGAGAGTATAACACGTGGATAGCGGCGCCACCGCACCGGCCGGTCTCTGCACCGACTTGCCCGATACGCCCGTTCGATCACTTTCAAACGAGCAACGTGCAGCTATCCATGGATGGTGGAAGAAACTCGTGCCACCATGATGCTTCCACCATGGTTCTATCGAGGAATTACTCTGTCTCGCTTCTAAACAAATTTGTCGAAAACAAATTTTGCAAGGCATCTGCTATTGATAAATTTCGGCAGAATGCAAAACTGCGGAAATATAAATCTCTTAATGGCACATTGGATTGACAGATTGACAGAAATTGAACCAGAATCCTCAAAAATTTTCTCAATTTTCGATCGATGACATTCCACCATTACCGTTAAATGAAAGATACCTTTATTACGAAATGATGAAAAAGATATCTTTCATTTAAAGGTATAATGATGCGGAATGTCATCGATCGGAAATTGAGGAAATTTCCAATGTTATTTAAGGATGGAAGGAATAACCGTACATCAATTTTCTGTAAGCGGCCATGCTGAGAAAAATAGGTCGGGTGCTTCACCGACCCGGTGCCAGGGGACTTGGACCGAGGTCGCGTCCAATATTACAAAGCAACCTTGCCGCAGAGCCACACAGCCCAACCCTATAGAAATTAGTCTTACATACCCGATATTTCCTTTAAAAACTTTTCTTTTAGTATGTTTTCAAGGTTTCTTTAAAAAAATCAGATGCAAAAGTCCAAAAAATACGAATACTTTTGAGATATAGGTAAATGAAAGTGATTGTCGCCAGAAGATGATCGCCATTGGATGTGATTTTGCCACGATTTCAGATAAATAATAATAAGTTAAAACGTTTCAATTTTTTGATGCCATTTTGCTTATGAGATCCCTTCTATACACTGAAATGGAAAAAAAAACATCAAAATAAGAACAATATGGCGAGCGAAAATTACAATAATGTACCTAATTTTCAAAAAATTCATGTTATTTGCTATTAAAACGGATATAAAAAATGAACTTTCGGGTACAAAATAAGTAGGTTCAGTCTACAGAAAAAGTATTTTTTTTTTTTTAAAGAAGTCGATATTTATAACCATTCTTGAGCTATTGTAGCAAAATCAGTGAAAAATGCTGTTTCCAGAAAAACGCGAAAAATTGAAAAAAAGTTTTTTACGAAGCTTAGTTGCTCGTGATATAAAATGATATCTCCAGGTCAGCTCCCACTGTAGCAGCATCACCGCAAAACATTGATTTTTTTAAACAGTATATAGAAATACGAGGGAATCCAACGCAAAAGTGACTTGCACGGATATGGACCGTACACGTTCTTTTTTTGGATTTCCTGAACTTAATTTTGCGATTTAAAAAAAACAAAAATGAAAATATTCTTACAGATTCACACTATCGAAATGTGAAAAACAAAAAATCGAATTTTTTTCGAAATTTCAAAATCCGGTTCCTTTAAATCTTTTCAAAATTCTAACAAAAAACTCCATTTTCAAATTTTAAAGCGAATTTTTTTCAACCTTTAAAATAAATTTTATATTCTTCAAAGTAAAATTCATTTAAAAAATTTTACAGAGTAATAAAATTAATGATCGATAAAATTAATCGAGATCACCCCTAAGACAACTTCGATTAAATTCCAATTAATTTAATTGGCAATTAAAATTTATCAATCAATACTACTTGTGCTATTCCATTAATATAAATAATTAGTTCTTTGCAGTTTAATACGTAAAAGGAAATAATATAAAGTAATAGAATTCAAAATTTTGTTGTAAACAATTTTGTCGATTGAATTAATATCGAATTTAATTGAACACGTGCGCAATGGTACACATATTACAACTGTCATACACGAATTAATGTAAAAATGTGTTTTTAATATAAACATACGAACAAAATTAAATCGCGAAAAATTATCAGTACCTTTTATTGTGCTCTCTCTGTGTTAAATAAAATATTTATTTTATAATTCAAAATATTTTTATATTTATATAGATTAAATCAGTGTACAACGGCTTTGTTAAATATGCACCAGTGCGCACTCGTGCATATAGAACTAAACTCGCTCTAAGTTCCGGGTTCGGTTGAAGTTGCCCTTACAGATTAGTCATAGCATGATATGCAAACACGACCGCCCGTTGCAGTATGCATTGGAAAGTGAAATGTTGCGTTTCACCCAATCAACCGATCGGTGGGGGTCGTAGGCTGTGGCGAAGATGTAGGGATCACGCAGTTTACGGTGCCTGACCCACTAACATTCTCCTCAGTTACTCGGCCTCGATAATCCATAGAGTATCTCTCGGTAAGAGAACTTACGAAATTTTACACATAGTAGCGTTACACATATTCGACCATTTAATAATAAAAAAAAAAGATGCGCCGAAATCACGGTCTCCTGTTATCGCTTTCGACGTGTCTGACGATAGTCTTCGTCGTTCTGAACACGTGGTCGTCCACAGAATTACTCGGGTCCGCGATTACCAACGAGAAACGTAGCGTGTTGAAGAACCAGGAAGCGTCACGTGTCGATGATCGATGGATTACTCGGAGCCAGGTGAAGACTAATACCTACAGCATGCCTCTAATACCTAAATAAGACTCAGGAAAAGAGCGTTAATTATATATAATTAAATACATCAATCTATAGCGTCGATTAAAAAATTTTACTTATCCCGTCGTCGTTTTCTATAGAATATCTCCCGCTTGAATCTTGAGAGAGAATCGAGTTTGATATATTCTCCAAGTGTATATCAAATTGAAGCACGTACTGCGGAACGTATCATCGTCTAATTCTGTATATTTAATTAGTAAGCGACAGTTGCAATCTCAGAGTAATGCGTCGAGATGACTGCTTGTGCTTGCGCAATGTAGAATGCATTCCTCGAACGTGAGACATGCACGATGGAGCAAAAGTTTCATGCTATTACAAAATCGTATAGTAATCACGCTGAACATATTTAGCGCAGTTAATTCCGCGCGATTAACACCAGTTTTTTTTCATCTGAAAATAATTTTGACCTAGAAATATATATGTATAGTATATATATAATATAGTTTCCTGAAGTAATTTTCACATTCCAGCAGCGAGAAGAAAATATAAAGTTCACAGTAATTTTCTTTACTGATAGAAAATTTATGTTCTATTTTATTTCTTATTTCTATACTCATTTTTTAAAGAAAATATTGAATAAAAAAGTTTACGCAATAATCTTAAATACTATATAATGAACTGTAAAACAATCAATAATATGTAATTAATAATTACTTTTAATTGAGATGTAAGAAACACTCCAAGTGAGTTTATGCGAAAAAAATTGGTAACTATATTCTTGGGTTGAAAATATGGTAAATATCTATTTTAGGTAACACCTCACCGATTTCAATGTTCTTTAGATATGTTGTAGGGGAGAGTGTCCTGAGTGATTCCCCACAAGAATTAAGTGGAGGACGGCATTAGTTTAGGAGATATGATAACTTCCATAAGGACCACAAGTGAACTGTTGCACGTAAATTTCCATGCAAAGCGAAAGCTATCTCACAACAAATGAGTTTAAATACATATTATAGAACTTTAATTTACTCCTAAACTAATGCCGTCTCCCACTTAATTTTTATAGGGAATCACTCAAGATACTCTCCTCTACAACATATCTAAAGGATATTAAAATTGATGGTCACCTAAAATAGATATTTATCGAAAATATAAGATATTAGTGCATATTCGTTTATTATAGAACGTAACTATAGTGTAACGTAATTATTTATGATTGTTATAACTTGTCAACCAGACGAACCGGTACATTACTCCGTCGCTCGCTGAATTGGGCAAGTTGCCATACAAGCACAAACACATTCTCATGTTGACACGCATACCCGGTGCGGGCGGCGAGTTGATGGTGCTGATCCTGCAGCGGTTACAAGGATACAACGCTTTCAAACACATACGTTTGCCGCCGGGTGATAATGGACTCTTGTCAAGTTCACAGCAGGTTCGGAAAAAAAATTCTCCTTGACTTTTACTACTAAGACTCGATTAGTTGATTCTGCAAATAATTTAATAATTTTTATTTATGATGTACTTCACAAAGAAGAATTTTTTCAGAGATCGTAACTTTATATCGCATAAATCATAAGATATAACTTTGATTTAACAGGAGTTGATGGTAGAAGAGATTACAAGTATCATCAGACAAGAAGCTATTCCTTTAACTTTTGATGGGGATGTAAGATTCTTAAATTTCTCGGAATTTGGACGGCAAGGACCTACTTTTATATCTCTAGTGAGAAATCCCTTGGATCTACGGATTTGGCAAAAGTATGTTTTTCTACATATTATTATGGGATGAAGAAAGGAGAAATGGGGTAGAGGAAAGAAGAAGAAAATATTACAATAATCATATTTAAACATGATTCAGGTATAAAAAAAGAGAGGTACATTATTATGGAGTTATACCTTATTTTTGTGGACAGGATCCGCGTTGTATGTAAGTATATTTTTATTGATCTAATTTTTTACGTCACCTGAACGATCACCTACAGTGATTTTTCCTAATTACAAATTATCATTATTAATTATGTAAATATGTATATTACGTATATTATTTATTTTATAATTTATTAATATCACAATTAAAAAATTGATATATGTATATCACAATAAAAAAATTGATATAGGTTCTCAATCTGTAAAGAAAATTATTGTTTTTACGTTATCGGGATGCAAAAATTATCCCAGGTGATTATTCTCTAATTAATTCAAAAAAATCTTATTGCGTATAATTTCATATAAATATAACACTCTATTGCATATGGAGTAAGCATTTTTGTTACTTTAGTTGGACGCCAAGTAAGAATATTTGTATGAAAAATGGAGTGGCTGCCATTTTTATACTATACATACGTGTTTTCTTTTAGGGAACAAAATAATACATGGGCAATGGAACAAGCTAAAGCAAACGTTATTCGATGGTATCCTGTTGTTGGTATATTAGATTACATGGAGGAATCGCTAAATGCATTTGCAGTTGAATTTCCCTATTTTTTTAAGGGTGCTATCCGTGTCTATGATCATTTTCGTAAGTACTCGTATAAATATTTATCAATCCATATATTTCTTATATTTTAATCTTATCGATTGAGCGCGTTCTGTCATTCTTTATACCCGTTTCTCATACTTTTTTGCTTATATACAGGACCAAAAGAGAAGCATCCGGTAATTTCTTCGGCAACTTCAAGGCTACAAGTCAAAGATACAACCTTGAGAAAAGTGCTTGCACAAGAGGTAGAATTTTATCAATGGTTAAAATCTCGACTTCTCAATAAAACATTCAACAACGGATGAAAATACTATCTGATGAGGATAGATAAATCAACTGCAATTAAATAAATCTTGAATAACAATCGCAATAAATTTTCCGCGTTAAAAGGAAATTAAAATGGAACAAAATATTAAAAAAACCTCTTATGATTTCGTAATTATTAGGTATACCAAAGAAACAAATGTAAACTTTCCGTGCCATCTAGAGGTTGACTCTGTAACCACATAAACCATCCTACGTAGAGGATAAATCGTTGGCGACTGAGTTTTACGTGTGCGATCTTTTATCGATTGTAGCGCATTTTGTCAGAATAATTATTGATGTTACTATAATTAGCGCATTCACAAATGACGAACCCGCTACAATCCTTTTGCGTCAATGTAGTTTAATATTTGTAGAATAAATACAGAAGAGTACAAAGAAATGCTTTACGTACATGTATCGACCCCTTTCTTTTCATTCTCTTTTCCTTTCTGTTTGCACATTTTCACAAAGATAAAAAGTGAAAAGTAATATAGATAGAACACGACCTATATAATTATGTACACGAAAATAAATGTGAAAATGCTACCTCTTTCTTTTGTGTAGACGATATTGTTCTTTATAAAAAAAATTACACGCGTATATCGAATTGTTTTCTACATATAATTTTAGACAAGAAAAGATATATTAGATTATTCCAATACAACGTTTTGGAAACGTATCATGAGCACGATTAATTTTTATATATTCTGCGGAATCAAAATATAAAAATAATTGTCATTATCGACATCACATTAGTGTGAGTGTGTGTGTGTATGCGTGTGTGTGTATGTGGTGTGTGTGTGTGTGTGTGTGTATATATATATATGATTATCGTGAATGAAAGTCAGGGAGGATCAGGAAGCGAGTTGGATTGATTAACGCGAGGATGATGCATGCAACAGGATAACAGAATCATGTTGATGTACAGATGGACCAGCAACAACATGAGAAACGCGTGCCATCACTTCTTTTTCGCGTCTTTTAATCCAGCGCCTGCGTTGAATTTGAAGAAAATAATGTCGCCATCCTCGACTACATAATTACGTCCTTGCTGTCTGTACTTTCCGGCGGCCTAACAAAATAAAACGTATGTATTAAGTAGAGAATGTGTATCATGTATCATCTAATATAAAAATTATAATTGTAATTTGAATACTTTTACTGCTGCTTCCGAGCCTTCGTTCTTGAAATCTTCGAATTTCATCACTTCCGCCATAATAAATCCTTTTTCAAAATCCGTATGTATTTTCCCCGCAGCTTGAGGTGCTTTTGTGCCTTTCTATAAAATAAAGAAAACATTTTCCACATTATAACTGTATAACATAATATTATATGTAGTGATAAAAGTAAATTAATAAAAATAAAATTTATGTTAATCATGTTAGAATACAAAAAAGATAAGACGTATAAAAAATATGTAATACATATTTTTCTTATCATCATTAATATTATCTAATATATAATTTTACTTTTTTTTTATTAATATTATTAACATTTTTCTAAATGTTTTATAATTTAATAAATTTATGTAATTTAATAAATTAAAATCGATAAGAATATGCCATAATGATCAAGCTGAATCTCGGATGCTTCTATATAATTGCGTGTGAATTTATATACTACGTATATAGATTTTTCAAATCGCCCTGAATTTTTCAGACTTGAAACGCAACTCTACTAAACTACCTCAGTAATATCACGAGTTAAATTGACTAACAATTTAACAATTTTTGATGCTCTTTGCGCACCTTGGATCGATCTTAATAATGTTGAAAGACATATTAAAATCTGTAAATAATTTAATTTTTATTGCGAAAAATATTACCTCAACCGGGAATCGAACCCGGATTTTTGCATTCCGTGCGAGAGTCCTAAAAGCCTTTAGACTACCGAAGCGCGCAATTAAAAAATACATACGTAGTATATAAATTCACATGCAATTATACAGTAACACTGAAGATCCAGCTGACCGTTACGGCATGTTCTCATCGATTTTCATTGGTTTAAATTCTCACGGTCCTATAAGATTTGATATATTATTAATAAATTAATTTTTATTTTACTTTATTACTATGAATTCTATATTTACCTGAATTGTCCACGCCTTGACTTCATCGTGACCGGACGTGAAAAAATATTGCAGCTGTAACGCTTTATATCCTTGTAAAATGATTTTATCGAGTGCACTATAGAGAGAAAAGAAACATACAATAAATAAATATGTTTCTGAGAGCAGAATAGTCTGCTACATGTCGAACACGACGAGATGTAAGTTTCTCACTTTCCGCGAATCACGAAAAAATGAGGCACGTCCGCGGTCAAAGCGGGAAGTGTCCAAGTTGTGGAATAAGATTGTCTCGGGCCAAATATCGTCTAATAACGGGTTAGCGCAAGTGGAGCCGTCCAACGCGCGGTGGGCCTGACGAAAGTCCGAGAGTTCAGAGAATACACATAAAGGCGAACGACTTAATACCGCAATTTTATCATTCCGACTCCGGTCGGGGACCTATTTCCCGGCGACCAGTTATCTGCGGTCTCGAAATAAAATCACGGTGTCTTCCGTCCCTTCGTTTGTATTCCCCGATCATTAGGCAAACTTGGGGAGTATCGTGGACTCTCTTCTACTTCCTCACTAGCTGCGAAAGTCCAGGAAATATTATATAATGAATATCGCGGGAAATATCAAACGTTCCTTGTTCAGCATTATTTCATTTAAATATTTTCCTAACATCCGCGTTTCTTTCCCGCTTATTAAAGTACTTTTTGGCGTATCGAATTGGATTTAATTCAACGTTGATCAATGTCCTAACCAACTCATAATTACAACTGTACCGTACAGCTCGATTAAAATTCACTCTGATAAGTAAGAAAAAAAGGAAAGATCGTGAAGCAAGTCTAAACTATATACCGTATACCACGTACAACGCACGTATCGCCCTGGGGTACGAATGACCCGCTAACCAATCGAATTGCCGAACCACCGCCGATTACTTCTCGCTCCACCCACCCTCCTCGATTATACCAACGTGCCCGCGAGGGCGGGAGGGGTTTTTATGCAATTTTGCAAGAATTTGAATAGCCGTTCGTAAAAACATAATGCGCCGCGACCGTGCCGGCTACGGTTTTTATTAGCCGTCCCACGTGGTGAGAGTGGGACAGGGGTCTAGACGCCGACCGTGCCCACCATTATTATTACCGTTAGAGAATAACTCGGTGCATAGCTAAATGTGGGAACACCCCAAACTCGGTTGAGGGAGATGCGTCTGTAGCACGATTTTACGAACGTCCAACCTTCTTTTCCCTGCAATCTTGCGGCGCTTCGTCGCCAACCGGCAACGAGCGACGTATGCGAGAGAGCCACACTACCGAATTTCTCTAAGTTTTAAAGGCGGTGGTAAACGACGCGGGGCCGTACCCCCTTATTTGCGAGCGCGACACAGCAACATTTAGAGGATAAAAGTAATAATAATCGTTATAACGGACCGGAGGAGGCCGAGAGATACCAACCTGGTGACTTTGTGTTCCTCGAAGTATTTTGCGCGCTCCGCCTCGTCCATATCGAGAATCTTGTTTTCGAAGACGCCGCTGAAAGGAATTAACACCGCGCCCGGATCGTTCTTGTCGACCCATTCTTTTATCTTGATTAACCTGTTACAAAGAATAGTGAGAGATGTAATGAACTGGGAGGTACTAGAGTTCAATCGTCCATTATATCGCATACCATTTGTTCTTCTTGCGTATGTAATCCTTTTCCGATAGGTTTACCAAATAGATGATCGGCTTCGACGTAAGAAACAGATACTTGTTCAATACCTCGATCTAAAAATTCATGAAATGTAATATAAAATCAAAGTGGAAAATTCTCTTAATCTCTTTCAATGCCACTCTTGATATACTATAACCGGTTTTGTTTTTCCAAAATAGGTTTTTTTCTGTTTACTATAATGCGCTTAAAACTTTTTTTTTATTAATAAACATACATATAATTGTTTAATATTGATGTATTTTTTAACGATTGGCGTTTTGATTGAAAAAAATTGTTGCGATATGTTCATTTTTATAAAAATTATAAACAATACACATACAAAGTTGAATTGAATGAACTAATATACATATTACATTCGTGACAAATATAATGTGAAGAGTTATTCATGATAAAATATAGATACTATAAAATGTTTAAACTCACGTCATTGGCACTCCAATCGGCGAACCTGATATGTTTTTTCTCATCCGTCAGAGTGCCCTTTACTTTTAGAAGCGTATCCTACAACATACGGATTGAAAAATTCCACTTAATCCCGAAATTCACTCCTGTTGCGTAACGGTTTTATTTCTCGATAATCAAATGTAACGACTTCGACATTCATCGATCTCGCCAGACATTCAGATGCACGAACGTGGGCCATCGAGTAGGATAATTTCGCGATCGAATCGTGATTAGAGGATCGTGCTGGACTAGTCGAATGCGAGGTCCCATTAGCCGAGAGAAAGAGAAAGAGAAAGAGAGAGAGAGAAAGGACGAAAAGGTAGCTTCGAATTCTCGAAAACTTTTGCCAAATTGCAAAGTTGAGAACGAGGGGGAAATCGGTAATTGCCGTGGGTCAATCCGCGGAAGGAGGGTAAATCCGACGATCGACTCGTTCCAGGAAGCCTCGTTTCGCCCGCGTTCTCTTAATTTCCTCGGTAATTTCGTAGTTGGCCTGACAAAAGGGGCTGCAACTGTACTCGCTAGACATTCTTACGCCACGTATAAACATCAAGGGAAAAAAAACCAAGAGGAAGGAAATTCTTTAGACTCTCGTGACGAACAGTAGCTCGGTAAAATCGATTTGACATAATATCGATTTCGCGTTTACAAATGTCGACCTTTTTAGAAAATTTTGTGTCAAAAATACGTGTCTATCACATCGCAGTTGATTTTGCGACTTCATATACAAATTCACGGAAAAAATTCAGCACAATTCTTACGGGAAATAGCTTTCAGCAAAAAAAATTGTCTGCAGCTTTATTTTATTTTATAGTTAATATAAAAAAGTGAACGAATGGAACTGAGCTTGCATTATTTAGAACATGCTCTCTTAAAAAATATACTATTACTTTTCTTCATTCTCATATTTTTAGGACGTTTGATTGACTGAAATGTAAAAAATTTTAAAAATGTAATCACTATATTATATATATATATTTTTTTTTTTTAACTTTGAACTTTCTACTATTTGTAGAAAGCAAACTTACTAACATTATGACATAATATTAACTTTTGATCAGCATCAAATAAATTATAAAATAGGAAACGAAGTTACAGCCAATTTCACTGAAAACTATTTTGTATAAGAATTATATATGTATGATCCTTTCGATAACTGATGAAGTGGAAAAAAATAAATAAACGGTTGAATGAATCAAATGTGAATTGCGTCTTACATACGTATACGATATCACGTTTGCAGGAAGTAATATATACATAAATATGTAATTTGTTCAAAGGAATTACATCAGTTGGGTGTTATCATCGTTAAATGACAATTTTCGAAACGTCTTTGTTTTCTTGAAAAGTTAGTTTAACGTAATGTATGCTACTAAGTGCATAACGAAAATATATAAGTTACATTGTACGTTACAGTAATCAATGTTATACTGATAAAGTCTAATCTAGAATATTCTTTGCTTCCCGTTTCTTGCTTTTTATCATTTTTATCTCTTACCTTTTTGCTTCTTATTTTTGTTTCTTCGTTTCCTATCACCCGAGATAAAAATTAATTTTTGATAAAATTTTTGATAAAAAATACATGATAAGAAATACGACTGTCAATAAACCGCAAAGAAGGAAAAAAAACAAAAGGTAAAAGCCAAACCAAAGAACAGGAAGCAAAGAGCATTGTAAATTGGATTTAATTCCGCTATAATAACTGATAAAGACAATGGTTGCATTCAGCAAAAAACTAATTTTCATACATAACTGTTGTAAAATTATTTAATATGATTAGTTTGCACATTTAGGCCCAATAAAGAACTAAACGCAAGTTCAATCATATTAAAGAATTTTACAATAGTTGCGAAATTGTTTTTTTTTCTTGCTGAACGCAGCAATTTTTAGAAAATATAGAATTTCCATAGAATTTGTTGCTCTTCCGAAAATATATTTTCACACAAACAGCGTGTTTTTTCACTTAAAGAATCTATTCTACTGAAATGTAATGATCTCAAATACTCACGTATTCAGGTTTCAGCTTCTTATCATTACCGCGTATCACAAGCTTCTCGAGCTTCTCGAGGTGAACGTTTAAGAATTCCACGTCCTTCAGTCGTAACTCCTCGCTAATGATGTCGAGGTCTCTTACGGGGTTAACATCACCCTCCACGTGGGTAACATCATCGTCCTCGAAGGCACCTAATAAAGCACAAGTAAATAGATCTCTCGCGCCAGGCAAGTCAGGAAACGTAATCTCGAAACTGGGGCTGCACGATGCTCATAAGTAACGCCTCAACGCAAGGCTCGCATGTCGACTGTTTAAACGAGCCACCGCCACCGCCACTGCCACGCGAAGATTGCCAGGTTGGTTTAATTGAAAAAATTACCACCTGTCAGAGGCCTGGTAAAGCGTATTAACCGGCAGAACTACCTCGAAATGTTATTTTCAGTACGAATATAATATATACCTAACGATTATTCTCTCAAACGAATTAGCAGTCGTTTAACGAATTATATTTGTTATACATTATCACGATATATGGATTATGATCTTGTGGATTTTGCGGATGTGAGGAATATCGTTAATTTTGTTACCAATTATGTCTCTTTGCGAAAATTGTGATAAATTCATTTTTCCACTTGATAGTGTTTACATTCTATGCAGAAAATAATGCAGTAAGGACTACAACAATGTTATTGTTATGTACTGGGGATGCGTTCAGGAATTATGCTCAGATAACTCTTGGGTGCATTGCTATAATATACGTAATGTAAACTATAGCCTAGAGTTACCTAGGCATAATTTCTGAATGCAGCCCTGGATTGTACTGATATTATAACGGAAAGTATATTTTTCAATGTGCATTGTAATTTTATTGTAATTTATTAATGTCATTAATCGAAATACATCTGTAACTGACTGTCAATATAGTAATAAAAAAAACTAATAAATACTTTATCATTATATTTTAATTTAATAACTCAAAAGGAAATATAATTTATATGTATACTACAATATTTTCTTTTCACATTTGACCAATATTAAAAAATTATGTGTTACTCACGCAGATGTTTGTTAATCAATTAAATTCTTTAGTTTCACACAAATTGAGTTTTTTTAAAAATACTAAATTTTTAAAAATAGTTTATTAATGTTCACATTAAATATACGTTAGTAATCGAACATGCGATCTACAAAAAAATTGAGTTTTTAAAAATTATATATCGATTACGATAATTTCTTGTTATTTATGTGTGCGAGATAGACAAAGAAACATCCGCAATGATAGGTGCAGGTTGATCGATCTGAATTATCGCGAGAGACAACAATGTAATGTGCTTCCAGGAAGATAGTTAAACCATAAACACGTGTTCGTAATGCCAACAAGATACACATGTGTGTCGTAAAAATAAGTTTACAATCGCGATTGCACGATCAACGAGCGCAAAGTAAGTAAATATCGCTCGAGATCAATCTCTCGATCTCATCGACAAAAATTTCTTTCGCCGTAATCGCTCTTATCGCGATTCCGCGTTTGATAAGGTTCTGTGAAAGTATTTTCTCAGCGATTTATTTATTTACTGCGTCACGTCAATGCAAAACGATTAAAATGTTATTAATAACGGAAATAAATTATAAACATTGGATAAAAATGTAGTAACAAACGATATTTTAAATGGCAGCGTACTTACGACAAAGATGAAATATGCCGTCACAAGCTCCGATATGAGAAAGAAAACTGTTTCCTAAACCTTGTCCTTCGGAGGCACCTTTCACCAGTCCAGCAATATCCATTACGTGTAAGAAGGCCGGAACTTTACTGGAAATCCGAATTTCTAATTACCATTATCAAATGAGGATAAATATCGAATGGCATAAAGGTGCATCCTTTTAATTATAATCATTATCTACAAATTCGTCAGAGAGAGAGAGAGAGAGAGAGAGTGTGTGTGTGTGTGTGTGTTTAATATCTATAATACATCAATGTAAAATAACTGTAAACTCGGTTTATTTACTCTTTATTGTGTCACATATTACATTTAAAAATTTTGATAATCTGTAACAAGGTTTCAAATATATCTATATAATTTTCCGTAATGTGCATCATAATTTTATTAAATTTTAAGAAAAAAAGCGCGGTCTTAAAATACCATCTCATGTAGTAGACCTGTTCCGACTTATGTCCGTTTCTATCAACGTAAATTAACTTTAATCTTAATTTAACTCAGTTTTTATCTTTTTCTAATTCTCAGAACTAAAAATTCTAATTTTTTAAACCACAGAAGTTCTAAGAATTAGAAAAAGATAAAAAGTAAGTTAAACCAAAAGATTAAAGTTAATCTACATTGATAGAAACTAGAAACAGGCACAAATCGGAATTGGTATAATCTACTATACGGTACGGGTAGTTTCCGAGGACGCGCTTTTCGCGCGTACGCTGATTTCAACGGAGGTCACTGATGATCGCGAATTAAAGGTCGAAGGCATTTACCGCGTGATGCACGCGCGCAGAATGGAAATAGGGTGGGACGACAGTGACAACGAGGTGTATTTAAATGCTAATGCCAACGGGCTCATTAAACAATTAGCCTTTGAAGGGAGGCGTCGGTGAAAGTGGACGAACTGATGAACGGAGAGACGAAGGGGTGGGGAGGGAGGGAAGGATGGTGTATTAGCCGGCTTTCATCACGGATCGTCGAATCATCCGACACGTGCCGGCAGTCGGGGGGGTTGGTCCGATACACAGACGACGAGAATGCAACGATAATAGGGCGGACGAGAGGGCATCGATGAATCGGCCGCTCTTTGATCCGACGCTGTTTCGCATTTTCAATGCTTCGATTCCTGTCGAATCTGGCGTAAGACAAGCACGTTTCACTATTTAGGTATCAACGTATGAAACCGAGCGAGGAGAAAGTGCAGTTTTATTAACCGTCCGACTTCTCGCTGAATAATGAGAATTACACGCGATGACATGTCAAATATATACGCTTGATAATCGAAAATAACTGGCTAGCCGATTTTTCCAATCGATATGAATTATTCCCAGGACTTGTCATCTGCGAATTCGTTCCCATTATTTGCCGATTATTTTATTCGAAAATCTATCCACCGATGCCGATCATATATTAAAAGCTGGATACGGACTTACATATAACAGAACGTCGCGAACGCCGTTATTTATACGATCTTTGTTGTTGGATTTGGTACTGCTTATGTTATGGCTTTACGTCTCTTATAATGTGATTGGCCAATTCGCTTAGGTTTTTTCGTATGCCATGGCATTAAGTCTGTACCCGACTTTAAGACTGCCACATCACGTGCTGAGGCGAATAAAGAAACGTAACATCGGCGAACGAGAACGTTTCGCATTTCGTAGACGAATTTAGACCAATCTGCATTGCAGATCGCCCCTCGCTCCCTTCCGACTCCCTCGTCTTTCTTCAGGAATAAAAGCGAACAAGTATGGAAATGTCCCCCGTTATTCCGACTCGTTTCCCTTCACGAGGGTGCATCTTTACGCGGCTCTATATGCTTCCATTCTGTTGTACACATTTACCCTACGTTACATTCAATGTACTTTAAGAACATTCCTTGCTGTTTCTTACCTAGCTGGTTTAAAGTATTCGCAGAGGTAGTCATATCTCGTATCAGGCACCGGAACGCGACGTACTGGAAAAAAGAATTGGATAGCTTGAATTTTCGACGATGTAAGAATTATTGGACTCTACGAAGCTGACGGAAGATCTATTGCATCCACACAATTATAAATCTTTTTGTTAATAATAACAAACAATTCTATTTTTTCATGATGTTTATCGAGAGAAAAAGGGTTGCAATATTACTATATAATTTAACTATAATTTATAGTAGTTTTTTGAGATAAATATATATTTATAGTTGTTTTATAACTGCGCAAATATAGTCAATTACGCTATTAACCATACACTACTTCAAAATCTGTAGTTTTTTTTCTTAACATATTTATTAGTTATTATTACTACATAGATAGTTCATAAAGTGAATTTATACATATAATAGTTATTCATTTATAATTGCGTTTACAGAATAAAAATGTTTATTTTTTACTATATTAATGTTTGAAATTATCATAAATCATAATACAATTTTTTTCATATTTAGGAAAACTACATAATTATAAAATTATTATTACAACAAAAGTTATTATAGCAATAATAATAAAAGTAGAATTCTAACCATAATTATTTAATCATAAATATTTTTTCATGTAACTATAGTCACAAATTACAAATATTAAACACTTTTGTCAGTTATATTTGAAAATTTTGTGAAATATACTTAGTATAATTAGTAAAATAAATTTTTTAATATCATTTTGGTTGAAGTTAATTAGTGTCTTTTAAATAATTTAAATTAAATGAGTTTTACATGATCAATAATACTGATTAGTAATATTAAATAATCGTAATACTGTCAGTATGCATCAATATTTTTATCTTACACGATCAGTATTATTGATAATATTTCAGTTTTATGTATATAATTGTGCAACTATATTAACGAAAATATTGACGCGCTATTTTTACGAATCTTACACGAATAATTTATCAGTATTAACAAATGATAATATTATCGAGGATGATCCCGATTTCTTAAATGAGCATCTACTATGTAATGCTCGAGAACAAAAAGTTCAAATCACCGTCAATATTCTAAATCAATTTTATCCACGTAATATTATAACCACTCAGTAAGTATTTGTTAGTACTGGCAATATTAATTGACTGTGTAAGGTCAGTATTACAAATCCAGTGTTAATAAATATTACAGATTTTGACGTCAGCTCCGGAGAGTTAATAATATTTCATAGAATATACGGATATATAACTTATTGTTAGATAAATGTGTCCATGTAACGTATAAGGAATCTTTAATAGGATTATTTTGATTCAACTAAATATGGATTATGCTTCTTTTTCATGGTATCAGTAACGATCTCTATAATTCTGTTTCGTTCATCGATTCGCTTGCACGCGATTTTGTAAATATCCATCTCGGTCAAGTTTTCGGTCACGTTATACGTCTTCAAGTAAACGCCGATATAAATCGCCGCGCTGACAGCCACCGACAAGCCGAATATCTTCGGACGACGAGCGCCTACTAGAGTTACAACTTTAACCAACATTTTTGCCACTGTTTGCTCCAGGAAAGCCACGTCCGGCATACGTTCTTTGATCGGCGGAAGTTCATGAGGAAATGCAATATCTATTTCAGAGTATTTACTGTGCTGCGCGAGAAACTTCTCGCGACATTCCTCGCTGCAGAAGAGATATACTTTATCCTTAAGGATGGCACCCAAATCGACTCTACCTGGTGTTAGCTTGCGATTCGGTAGGTTGTCGACGTAAGTTACTAGACACAACCCGCCGATCTGGAGACGTTGCGCCCAACAAGCGTGCTCCACGTCGACTGTCTCTTGCAATATCCGAGGTCGTTCATCGACAAGAGATGCAGTAACAGGTGAAAGGTAATACAATGGATCTTCCACGAAAGCGTCTATATGTTGCGGACAAATCCAATAAAAATATTCCCTAAATTGGACCATTCCTTGACTGATTACCAATTGGCCAGAGGTCTTCAAGATGTTTTCGCGAAACAGGCAAACGGGACAGTACGATTCGTATCGACTCTGAAGCGATCGAAACTCGTACGGTGATACGCACATTTGCTTCAAACTGTGAACCTTGTCCAAGTTTGCCTCATGAAAATGAAGCATGATATTAGCAAATCGTGAGCATACCGCGTGATTTACACGAGTCCATACATACCACTTACTCTTAGTAGCATCCAATTCGACTACGTTTTGCCAGAATCTTTTTAGCCACTCTCGAAAACTTGCTTGGTCCGTTTGCCAATCCTTGTAACGTCGCGACAGAAAATTGGCGGAGAAATTCAATGGGCTTCTGATATCATCATTATCCCAAGACAGGCATTCGAGGCAGAACTCTACATCCGTTTTGAAATCAAGAACAATCATTGGTTGTATTCCTAAAACAACTAGTTGCTCGGTTTCCTTACGATTTGAAGGACAATCGTCCAGGATATAACCTTGACTTACAGCGCGTGATCCCATAGATAATATTTCGATGGCACGTGCTACAGATTCGATCGAAGCAGCCTGACCAGCTCGAAGTTGATCTTCGATTATACGCGCTGATTCGGTCCAAGGATAATATTTCAATATGTGGCGTAACGCTTTGCCGCGAGTAATTACCTTCAACCCGTACGTTTTCGAGAAACGATTCGCCAACGTTGTTTTTCCGCATTTCGGCGGTCCGATGATGGAAATTCGAAGCGGAAGAAGTGGCGGATGGACATCTTGCACGAGATACTTCGATGGATTATTTAGAAATGCGGAGAGTGCTTCTTCGCCCGCAAGAAAATAAATATACGGACAATGTACAACTGGAAAAATCTGACCGCGAGTTTTCATCGGCAGAAACATTTGAATTGATATCGTACTGGTGTAGAGTTGCACGGGACACCATCGACCGAAGGAACTGAAGAAATAGTAACCGCAGTCGAGAAGTCGTTCGGCTGTAGCAAGATCAATGGTGTAGGGGAGATTTTTTTCTTCCTTTTTCTCAGCATCTTTATCAGCCAAATTTACTTCGTTTTCCACGACTGCTGTTTCTTCCGATATTTCATTCTCTTTATTCTTTTTTTCGACATTCGTACCGATAGTTGCAAAATCAAAACGATATTTAATATGATTTATCACGTATTCCATTATATCTTCGATATTCGCGAAGTTACACTTTATCACATTTCCTTTAAATTCAGGAATTTGTTCCTCGAATTTTATCCGCTCCGATTCAAATCGCGTTAAATGTTCAAGATATTCCCATTCCGCATCTTCATATAATGCTATTTGTTCTTCACGATCTGCTTCCATATCAGTATCAAGATGGGAGAAAGTGCGAAATTTATTCAATAGGTAGGTGTACGGCTCCTCTTCGAATAAAATGACAATGTCCTCGAAAACAATGTTAGCTTTGACAATAATCTTTCGCCAGACTTCGATATCCATGCACATACCGTGGACAACATATCCACCATCTCTTCGAAGCTCCTCTTCTAACATTTCATCAGGTATTCGCTCGATGTTCTGTATAATAATATCAGCTTTTTTATCAACCGATATGTCGATAGGCTTTAGCAAGACTTGTTCTACATTCGAATCGTTCTCATGAAACGAATACTTTTCGCGTTGTTTAATTAATTCTTTTACAATCTCATCAACATTTATCACAGTTCCACCGAAAACCTCCGCCAACTTTATACTAAGTTCCGATTTACCAGCGTATTTTGGCCCAAACACCGCTATCTTGCAGGTTGGCCGCGGATTCGGCGGCAATAAAAAAGTTCTTGGATTTTCGGTGAACAAGTTAGCAGCTTCTTGAGAAGAGAGAAAAAAGATCATGTCCAAGAATCGCACCGCGTGCTTCGGGAGTCCCTTAACGGTTCGTCCTTGAGCTAACTCGATAGGACAGTAAAACCTCCATGCAGAAAGTCTCCAGGGGAATCTGAGAGATACAACTTCTCTTAGTCTTAAAATCTCGAAAGCCCCTTCAGCAGATTCTTTTGCGAGCTCATCGCTCAAGTTGATTTCTGGAGATGTTCCAAGAAAACGTGCGTCATTCCGTTCGATCATTCCTCTTGGAAGAATCGATGGCAGTAACGCCAAAGTACGCAAACGCGTTTTGAGGATGTGAAGTATTCGTTGCACAGAACTACGGCCGTCCACGCGGACTACATGCTGAGGATTATGCGCGAGAATCCATTTATCGATTACTGGCAATGCCAAACGTTCGTAAAGATCACATTGTGTCTTAACATTGTGCGTCATGTCAGATATTAGTTTCACCAACCTTTCATCATCGTCCACGGCTGGTTGTTTGTTTGCAATTTGGAAGAAATCAAACGAGGTGTCCGATTCGTCGTGTTCGTATTCGGATAGTTGCATCACGAATTCGTTTTCATCAAAAATATCTCCTGTCAGATAGTTCATACGCCGCCGTGCGCACTTACTAGCAACGTCTTGCTTTGGACATATAAGATAAATAATTATCAAAGGTTTTCTTGGCCATATGGTAAATATTTCGTCAATCTGTCGAGGGATTTCTCGTTCGTAATCAAATTGCATCTTACAGCCTAAACCATCGGATATGAAGCGATCTTTATGTACCTCGTGCGATTCAATCGTCGTATTTTCGCAAAATTCTGGATAAATATCATCTATATTTAAAACAAAACCGGGACATGATAAATAATTAAAGCTTACATCGTTAGAAATAAACGGTAAACAGCCAATGACGTAGCCTCTGTGTTTGACATCCCTCGTCCTGACTCTGCAGCGTATCAAGTTTATAAGAATTTCTGGTCCTATAGATCTACCGAGTCGCAAAATTTTTTGCAAGTATTGGCCTTTATCTGTACCAGCATCGATCTCCTCTCGAATTAGCGACGTGGGCGAAAGTAAAACACAGTTCCAAGCATCTGCTATCGCCGATGCAATGTTGGCGTGATCTAATCCAGGTTTTCCAAAAATAACGAAACTCGGTGGATCAGTTCTAAGATAACGATTAACCGCTTCGTCTTTCAAATAAAGATTCTGATTTGTAAAGAGTTCTTTGCGAGACACAGCTTGCGATGGAAGCTTTTCCTTTTCGAAAAGCTTAGAAGCGGTGACAATCCTTTCCATCGGATGTACATCTTCAGCAAAAGCGTAATATAAATTAGCCTTTGGATATACAATTGAGGAGGGTTCATGTGTGGAAATCTTTTGAGAATCTTCGATTAATTGTAGAAAGCTTTTTTTCGTTATAAACGATTCATCAACATTCTCAGCATTCTGTCTCGGTTTTTCTAAACGTTTGTCACACATTTCCTTGTAATTAAAGTAACTTACGTCGACGATTTTAATTTCAGTTTAATATTTTGTCACGTGGCCGTGTATGCAAGTAAGGTTAAACAAGCGAAGTCGAAATAATTTATATACGCGCTGTCTAAATTACCATTTTGCTTCATACTATAAAGCGAGTTTTTAAATTCATCGATTGTATCGTGTGCTTTTAAATTAATCGAATCGCATTAAGTGCAAATGCAGATTACAGAGTCAAATTGCATTTGCGCATAATGCGATTGATCAATTGATGAAAAAACTCGCCTATAGTATACTTTAAAATGGAGAGTTCGGTTGATTATAATTATTAACCTTAATATCGGTATTCGCAATTCCACAGTAGATCTGCACATTTTCTTCAACATTATGAAAAATCATTTAGAACAAATGTTTTTCACAATTTTACATAAGTTACATAATCTTATTCCTCAAATGTTTACTTTTAAAATGAAAAAGATCGTTCAATTACGTTAACACTTTAAGCAAAGATACACTAATTTAAAGTAGACCTGCAATTATCAATTAATCAGGATTATAAGATAAAAAAAATTATCAATAGACAATTCAATTCTATTTTAGCAATATAATAATGTTGCAGAGACAAGAAAGAAGGATGCATGAAGAATACTCGAGGCTTAAATTCTAATAAATTCGCTTAAAATTCACACAAATGTATCAAGATACTTATTTTCATTGGGATCGATGGTGCAGAAGGGGAAATTCTCGGCTGCCGCTTGGCTCTTGGTGAGAACGTTGAAGAAAGTCGACTTTCCTACATTCGGAATCCCGACTATGCCCATTTTTAAATTAGTACCAACGCGACCGATAAGCGGCTTTCGCTCGGGTTCCTCGGGCTTCTTCGGAGCCATGCTGGACATACAAGACGTTAATTAATACGCCATTGGTACTCAAATTTTTTTACCGCTGATGTTCTCTGTAAAATTCTGTGGAACGAGTGCCGTGCGCGAGGCATGGTACGGAGCGCATAATTGGCTGACAGCCGACAAGACGGCAACTTTGTCTGTCGCGTCGTAGACGTATACGGTGCCCGAGGGTGCGCGTCGTCGATATTCGCATCCCCCGAAATACTTAAGCGCGGCTGCGATATTTCGTTCGTGCGTGCGTGCGTGCGTGCGTGCGCCGCCTGGAGCGCAAGCAAGATACGGAATCCGTTCCCCGGCATCGTTCTCTCGGAGCGCTCGCGGTGACTAATTATATTAATGCGGACGGCACATCGCGAGCGATTGCTGTATTTACCGCGAGATTGAGGCTCCCCCGTCCCGTCGCGCCGGTATATACGACCGAGCCGCCGCGCTGTATCAAAGACCGAGGGAGGGCTGCGCGGGAGGAGGAATACGGCCGGGCAAGCGGGGGACCTGGGATTACTGGGCACCAAAGCCGCGAATCACCGGCATCACGCCGAGAATCCGCAACCGCGCCCGAGGCCGCCAATCCGCCACCGTCTTCGCGGTTCCTGTTCCTCCTCTCCCCACGCCTCGTCATCTTCCTCTCTTTCCACCCCTAGCGGTCTGCCTCTCCTCTCCTTCTTCGCCGCACTCGCGCGTTTCAACGCGAAACCACGGCGCCTTTCGTCGTTTTTCATCGCGGTCCCGGGGAAATTTGCAAATTACGATAATGGAGGAGCATCTCTCGAAGAAGCGTTCCGCCCGCGATGCTACTCGAGAGCCCAAGAAGAGCCCCAGAGCTGCCTTGGCGCCGCGGCGTGACCGTCCCTCCCCTTTTACGACGTCGTCTCGCTTTTGAGGAACGCTAGACGCACGGTTAATGGGCGATCCCGGAGACGCGCCGCACCACGCCGCCTCTGATCGAGATTGAACCTGTGGCCTCGAGGCCGCCGTTAATCGTGAAAAATCCGCAAAATGCTTTTACCGAGAAAAGACTCGCTCCTCCAACAGTTCACATTGATAATGATATGCGAAAAATCATTATCGAGTATCTTAGTACAAGGAGCTACAACCTCATATTTCCGCCGCACAATGTTCTTCGAATCTTATATGTTATGTATAAATATTATTTATCATATTGTAAAATATTCATGTAACACATTCTAAGAATATTGTGTTTTAATTGTGCTGACGTTGAATTGATGCACTAGAAAAATAATAATATTCATCGTTTCTAAGTAAATGCTGTAAAATTCTATCCATTAAATCATATTGTTAATATTTTTACAGAATAAGGTCAAAAGGATAAAATATAATATTACAAAAATTATTAAAATTGTATCACACTTCCGTCTGTCTATTTATATGTATAAAAGAAATCATTTTAAAGTTTGTGTTTTGTACATATATAATCACCAATCGTGAAAATAAATACAATTTATGTATAAATTAAAAATGAAATTTTTATTAAATATTTTTCAATTTTGATAAAAAAGATTTGAAACGATTTATAGGCTCACAAAATAGATGGACTGCCTTTCTGCAGTTAACAATTTAAAAAAAAAGAAAAGAAAAAATTCTAGTGCTTCGCAATCAAAAATTAACATTTTCATTTATATTTTTTGAGTAGTTTGAGTTTATTAACTTATTTAATAAACATAACTCTTCACATTGATAAATATTTATTTTTCGTTAATATTGTCATTAAAATTCAAATTATCCTGATAGTTTGGATATCTCACATAAGTAATCGAACAACTCGATAAATTCATTATTTAAACATCTGAGTATTAATTAATCCGCATATTTATATCTCTCGAAACTTTCAACCGTTCAAGCCTCAGCTTTTAGCATCGCCGTAGTGTATCGAGTATAGAGTTGCTGTAATAAGAGTTAAGACAAAAAAAGTAATAATTTTTAATTAGCTGTATATGGTCTTGTATTCATGTCGTCCACAATGCTAAGTAGTGTGTCTGGTGAATACATCTAATATTCGAATAAATAAATAAAAAGTGAATAAAAATACTCATTTGAATAAACTTTTTTTTTATTCGTCAAGAAACAAATAAATATTTTATCATTCCATTTGAATAAATATATTTTGAATATGGATTAGGAATATTTTTATTTTGTATTTTGCTATACATATTTTTATTTTGCTATATTCGTTAAATATTCAAAGTTTTTTTTTTGTGAATAAATATTTTTTGAAAACCCAAAAATTTTGAATGAATATACGATTATGTACATTTTTTTTACATGAAAAATTTTAAATACAATTTGGAGCTTAATTTTTGTATTCATCGGGCACACTAATGCTAAGAATCGCTCTGAGATTTAGAACAAAGAAATGTTAAGAATTAACAAATCACATTTGAACAATTCGGTCACATGATCAAAATGATTATTCTCCATTTGAGATCTCGGACTGATTTCTAACATACAAGGCTTAACAACTAATAATGTATGAATAGGATGCTTTCCAATTGCTTCACACATTCTTAATACAAACATATACATAGTAATGCACGAAATGTAGTATTGTGAATAATTCAATTGGAATAGAATGTGCACGATATGCATTGTCTCGGATAGATTAAATGTAGCTCTTTCTGCATGTAATGAGAAAAAAAACAAAAATGCCGGCCATCCAACGTCCTCCAAACTCATTTATACCTGCCACGATTAGTAACATGTAATTGTCACTAAAGGACACAAGTTTATACAGCCGACAAGTTATGACGTAAAAATACAAAGGATGCTTTCATTTATTGACAAAAGTCGACACAAACATCGTTTTATTTTTCTTTGCATTTTACGAGTAATAAAAACAGAACAATACTTGTGTTGATTTGTCACCAAATGAAAAACATCCAAAGTATTTTACTCCTGAAAAGCGCAGTCAAACAGAAAATTAGCTCAAAATGTACAAGTAATACAAGTCAATTTAGAGCCGCTATTAGAAATTCACCAATAATAATTTGCCTGAAAATTATATTCAACCAACATTGTATGCAATAAATAAAACACCTTATATTTTTACATCATTAATAACGCGAGCTGAGTACAAGTATGTGTCGATATCTATTTTTCGGACTTGGAAATGCAATCGTATTACCGTAGCAATATGACAAATTAAATTGACAAGCAATTTAATAATTTTATACTCAATCAGACATCTTATTAAAGAGATGTTAATTGTGTTGAAAATCATCAAATAATTTATTGCGAACAATATATTACCTAAAATATTACTATTAAATTGCTTGTCAATTTAATTAGTAATATTGCTACAGTAATACATTTGTGTGTATCCAAGTAAAAAAAATCAATTCGGCGCGTAGTTCAAACGACTATATATTATGTGATATATAAATTCATATGAAAATTATTTGAACATCTAACCAACATCCAATTTCACGTGACCATTACAAGCTCTAGCGCTCTTGTGTATTATTTATACATTAATTTAACTATATACAGCAGCGGTTTGTCTTAACTCTTATTACAAATAATTCCGGCAACGAAATTGAAATGCGCGCCTCGCCGCTACCGTAGCAGCGCCGTAACACAGTGCTGCTACGTAACGGCTGGGAAGAGAAGCAACTGTCCGCACCGCACTGCAAAACTTAACCTTACCTCGCTACCGGAACGATCGTACGTCGACAGATCGTTATATCCTCGGAAATGAATTTTTACGACTTACAAAGCGTCACGTCCATATTCTTCGCGCGGTATCGTAACACCGCTGCGACGTGCTCGACACCATGTAACTCAGTATACACCTGGCCGACGTCTGCAATCTCTATCGCATATATGCATTCTTGTCGACTCGTGGCCGCAAATCAAAAAACAGCGCGCGCCCGGCACTCATTCCACAGGCAGTGTGCATCGCGGTGGTCCTTCGAAAGATACCTCGTATATGTCCGTTATGCGTTCGCAGTACTAATTATCGCTTGATATCGCTGCACGATGCGTCGAATACAAGAGCACGGCACGTAGACGACGTCACAGACATTCGACCGGCCCCGCGGGTTACAGAGTTTCCACTTACCCGCCGAAACAAAAATATACACCATGCTGCGCCGTCACTCCGCCGATAATGCAGTTTCAGGGCAGAGGAGAATCCCAATTTCCATTTTCGCGCGCACATCTTTTCGTGTTCTGAAAATATTGTTGCGTCCTCAAAGGTAATATTTAGGTAATTAATCGTATTGTAAATATTGTTAAGGTACAATTAAATCTGAATACGCGTTAATTGAAACTTTAATTTGGGATTCTAGAGATTAGAAAATAATATAATGATCGATCGAGTTTTTTTTTTCGAAATAAGTATGCAATGAAGTTTGCCGGTTACAAATTAGTCGCTTACGCTTGGAATCGCGGTTTATCGTGTCAATTGTTGTTTGTCGTGTGAATCTTTTCGTGAAAATCGAGTTTGTGTCAATAGCTAGATTAATTAACCAGTATATAAGAGTTCATGTATGGTTGACGTAAATATAAAATAAGATAAAGAAATTTATGAGATAGATATTCGTAATACGTGATTGAACTATAGCGATTACTGTGAATTGCAAGGTTATGACCGCCATTATCTCAAATCTCTCTTTGTGTTCTTTCGCAAGATTTCTCCTGACGCAACGTAATCCTGCTCAGTGTGAGTCATAAATAATTTGCTGAATTGAGTAAATTTATTCATCTTATATTTGTAGTACTATTGCGTATTCCATTAAAATACTAATCATGAAAATACTATTTCGGCAAAATTAATTTTAGAAAAATTTATAAATCCATTGAATTCTATATAAGATAAATATAAAATAAAGCTTGCCGATTAAATAATTTAGTTTAACAAAAATTTTTTTTAAATATCAAAAATCTTTTTTTTATATAAGTACTCTTTAAGTATTAAAAATGACTTATGCGCAAAGTTTCATCGAGATTCACCAATTAGTTTATAACAATATAATTTTAAATAAATTTTGTATTTATGTGCTGAGCAACTAATGTCTGTCTCAATGTAACTTTACATAAATGTTTTTAAATTCATCAAAGTATTTATATTAAAAAAATTGAGATTTTATCATTATTTTATAATACATTTTCACATATTTCTATTAGAATAGAAATTTAAAAAATGTTACTTTTTATTGAAATAACAAGTCATATTCTTAATTTTTATTTAACTTTTAACTTATTAACTATAGTTGTTACTCAACTCTGATTAAAATATACGCGACAAATATTCAGAATTAGTAGTTGAATTTTAGCAATTATATGTGACTGTAAGATTATTTTCGCCATTATTTCAAATTACTTTATATGTTTTGTATATAGGATTTCGTCCGCAGCATAAGATCGTCCTGCAATATGGATCTTATCAACATTGGCAGAATTGGTGAGTAAATTTATCTATTATATTTGCGCTATATAATTATTTAGCGTTATTATACAAGTCGAGACTGTCGAGAAAATGCAATTTTGGTAAAATTAATAAAAATAATCGATAATAAATCATATAAAGAGTTACGAATTATTTGGAATAATGGAACTGCAGAGAATATGAACTTTGGTTGATTTTTTGTGTCGATTGTGTTTCTTGTTTTCTGTAAATAAATAATAAAATCAGAATTATGTCGTTCTAGCGATTAGAGCGCTAATACATAAAAATGTTTGCATTGTGCAATGCCACAGAAATGTACGATAATGAAATATGTAATTTGAATTGCGCGACGCAATCTTATGAGTTTCGAAACCTTTACTTACTATTACATCAATTTGATTCGTGTTATTTACGACATTCTTTTTGGATTAATCAATCTGAAGAGTGAATTTATAATATTTGTATGTTTTGTAATGTTATTATATTCTCACGCTAATGTTATTATATTCTTTAAAGAATATAGATATTAATAGAAACACTTCTTTATCGTCGTTACGTTGCTCAATTAAATACTGTGAAGAGAGTGTAATTTACACTTAAATTATGGTACAATAAATCTATGTATCATAAATAATATTTATAATTATGATTAAGTAAGACTATTTTTTAAATAATTAATTACTTGAAACAATCAAGGCAATAATCTGCTGCTTTTATTATTCAAATAGTAATATTTTATATACAAATATATGCAAATAACTGACTGTAATCTGACTGACTGACTGTAGTCTGAATGACTGACTGTAGTCGTAGTTTCTCGGTCTGTACATTTACGTGAAACGGGTCGTAAACGCGACGGGCGTCCAATGTCGATGTCCATCGGCGCGGACGGATAACGATCGACGATGTAAAGTGCTTCGCGTCGGTACCACCGCGACATGACGCCAGTCCATGTTTATGAAGTGTCGCTATCACGACACGGCTACAAGTTATGCCGTGTATAGCCAGCCGCTTCCTGCCAGGACAGGCTACGAGCGACACGATACGTGCCGCGATATATGAATGCATTCTAGCCGACGGGCGAATATCATTCGCGTCACTCCACCGTGTCGATATAGGGCCGAAGATTTACGATGGCGAGATCTCGTGACAATGTCTCGTGTTCGCGACGGATGGCGGAGTCACCCGTCCGTGACGTTGCGAAATATCCGCATGTAGCATGTTCAATGCGAAACTTACGTGAACTTAGGCGAATAATTACGAGCCATTGGCCTGTTGAAAGAAGCGGGAGACGTTTGCGTTGGCGTAACTCTCTCTCTCCCCTTTTCGTTAGAAAGAGAGATCGCGGTATTATTTATTTTCGAGCACGCATAAGTTTATTAGGATATAATGAAAAACGAAACGCGCTCGTTGCGCAAATATAAATGACGAATAATCACGCCGCGTTTGCCAAAAGTTGCGAAATAATCCAGATGGTATCCTAATACCAGTTCGACGTCGGGCGGCGGAGGAGACCGCTCCGAATTTCGTGCTCGATCATTAGAGCTCGATGGCTCGTACGTGTATAGTGGGAACGCGTATCGTGGATAGCATTAGGGCCATAATTCGGAGGATAATATTAAGATTGGCATGGAGCAAAATAGAAGGCCACGTGTGTAGCCGCGACGGCTGGATCGTCGGCGCCGCGCGCCACGCCACGCCGCGCCGTGCCGTGAGATCGGACAGGGAAAGGGCAGGACGCGACTATTCGTAACGACGACTTAAACGCGGATGATTCCTTATGCTCCCGTCGTAAACACGAAAAGCGTTTCTCCTCAAACAAAAGAGGTTTCACGTGTTTTACGAGCGAAACTTCATCGAAGCGTTAGAAGTCTCATACAAAAAAGTGCGTTCCATCGGGCATTTCGATTTTTCCTGAAAAAACATTTGCGTCTGTAGGTAACAAAAAGTTTTACGTTGGTGTGCGCCTGATGCAGAATCTTTCACGAGATTCTGCTGCCCCGGTGACAGCGATTGAATAAATCTTGGCGTAACGATCGGCGGCGTCCCGGTGGAATTAGTAACGCAATCCTTCAATTCGCTCAATATCTAATTTGCCGAAATTCCTATAATTCGTTACTCGCTAATATCCTTTTGACCGAGATTATCGGTCCACAGGGTTGAAACGAGGGATTGCGCGCTGGCAAGATGCTCCGATGCACCGGTGACGTCAGGGGGTTTGCGGTCCCCAAATTACGATATCGTTAAAATACGATGGCCCCGGAACGATGCGAAGCGGGATGAACGCTCTTTCCATCCGCCCGCCCGCACTCGCGGAGTAATAGGCTTCGTGATTATATGCATTATGTGGCCGAGATTAAAAATACTGTATGTAATAAAATAAGTGAAATAATCTTACGTCAGTGGACGAGTCTGGTACGTATTGGTGGTAGTCTGCGCGATACGTGAGGCAAACATGGTATGCGATTCAAGGCGAGCATATTTCATTGATACTCAAAATGAGTCGTGTATTTTCCGAAAGAGATAGCGTTTGCTTAAAAGCGCTCAGGAATACATATGCTGAAAGTGCTTAGAAACATGAATATGCGAACGTAGTTTTAACTTTCAAATAGTACAACTTATTCTTGAGAACACTTGTCAGTAGAACACAAATGCGATTTGGGGAATTTGACATTCTTGAAAATTTATCCTGAGGATTGAAGTAGAAATTTCTTTAAAACTACACTTTTCAGGGTAAAATTCCTAATAAATCCAATGGTATCGTTTAAATTTAGTAAAAAAATTATTTTGTAGTAAAAAAATTGTTAGCAGAGTAAATTATCTTTTGGGCAAGTGCCAACAAATTGAATTTTCGTTACGCGAATTCGCAATTAGTGTACCTCTTGAAGATTAAACATTTGCAAAATTAATCTTCGATACTAGTTTTCGACATATATATTATATATTAGTTGAATAACAAACTTTTTAGTTGAAATTGCTTGAGAAATTATCTAATTAGTTGAAAATGTATGCGCTAATTTTAGCTGCACGGAACGCTGTTAAGGTTCTGAATATAATGGAACGTTATAGGAACATTATTATTGGCTAGAGGATGCACTCTCTCCCGCTAGACAAATGCGTAGCACAGAGCTTAATAATTTCCCTGACGAGTATCTCAATTAGGGCAAAAAGTAAGCCAGTTCGTTGAGATGTAACGAGCAAGCTCGCTATACTAAAGAAAGAACATTGAGCGCCTGTACAAATATCGCACACCTTTCGCGGCTTCTATTTACTCGCGGGCGAACTGTAGTAGACCGTAACATTTTGCAAGAGGTATACTTCGTCGGAGTGCTGGCGAGTATACTGAATGCTTTTATTGCTAGAAGAAATATGGAAGACGGATCGTAAATGCGCGTTCGGATAACAGGGTACGGAAAATAGAGAGACGATACTTGTGCACGTTCTACTCTATAATAAATACATAAACGATCATTTAATGGAGATCTTGTAGGAGTTATGGCTGTGAAGAACGAATTTCAAAAACGATAAATTGCAATTCAATTATCTTCTCTTGAGAGTTACAATGTTATATGATTCAACTTATTCAAATCTGACGCATTATAACGTATTTGAAAATGAAAGAGGAAAGATGTACATGTGATATATGTACATCAAATTACATTATCGTGTTTAAATAATACATATGAAAGTGCATTTGAAATAGTAATAACTCATCTTTCGGAGATAATATTTCTTATTGCTAAACAAATAAAAAGTAAATTAGAATAAACTTTTAACCTTCCAATAAATTTAGAACATAATAGAGATATGAAATGTCAACACGTAATTTTTCTAGACAAATGTGAAAGAACAATGTCAGAGTGCATTAGGTCATTGTATGCCTTACGATTACAAAACTACTAAATAATGTTTATATATAGATAAGTATACGAGACATGTTAAAAGAAAATATTATAATGACATATGTTTTTATTAAATTACATTTTTTTTAAATTACATTAGATTAGATATATACGCTTTATAGTCTGTCTTTCTTTATTGCGCGAGTCACGATTACGAAAATGCTCTGCATTAGGAAACATTATGCATTGTATATTGCTTTCCACCAACATAGTATCAATTGCATAAGTACCTATTTATAGAACTATTAATAGAACTAGCGTTCTATTCATAAAATTTTAATCTTGATAGTTAAGTTGTTGTTAACAGAATATGCAATAATGTTAATGATTCGTTGGAAAGCATTTAAGTAGTTTACGATAGTATATGTCTATGTTTTCGTACATATGCTGCTTATCAGCTTTTCTCTTTTCAGTATTTTTTCAAGGGGAAAGAAGTAAAATGAAACATAGATAAACAATTTCTATACAGTTAATAATGATTATTGATTATTGTATATATTTCTATGTTCAACATATAGATAAAATAACATGAAACAAATAGGTTAAATCTTGTAAATACATAAAATATTCGAGAATTATTTATGAATTAGAAAGTTTTATATCAACGCAAAGAAATAATATAAATAAATGTATGAGATATTATGAAATAATCAATATTACAAAATTATCAAAAGGAAGATAATTATTGTGTCGATAATGTAATTTTATGTGCTGTAAAATTTGTGTACAAAGACATTTTTTAACTTATATTTTTTAATGCTTAATATTAAAATAACATTTTATATTTATTGAATGTTTTATAAATTATTTTTTGAAGATTATATATTTACATGCTGGTTTCTTTTTGTTTGATTGCATGTAGTAAATAAAAAGTAGATAAAGTTGATGACCAAGACCATTTTATTTTCATTGGATTAAGTTTCGCGCCACGAACCGATCTCGTTTCACAGCCATCTGTAGAAAAACAGGAAATGATTAAGAAATATTTATAATTGGTACGGCCTTGTTAGATATAATAATCAAACTTACAATCCTTTAATATACATTCAACTTCATGTGGAGTAATAAATTTATTCCATGAATGAATACCACGAGGTATAGCTTTGAAAATGTATTCTGCTGCTATAATAGTAGACAACCAAGATATTAAAGTTCTGTTTATCGTCGTTACAAAAATCGATTTGCCAGGTTTCAACATTTTCACACATTCCTACACACAACATTTGGAAAACATTAATTTTTATGTAATATTTGTATTTCATAAATCTTTGATTATAATATTGTACCTTTAAAAATAGTTGTGGGTCTGATACATGCTCCAAAACCTCAGAAGCTACAACAGCATCGTATGTGCTGTTTTCGCTCTCCTTACGAGCAAAATCTTCCACGGTTGTGTGAATGTAATGCACTTTTTCTGATATATTGCGATTCAATTTTATATGATCTTTAGCAACATTTATTAAGTCTTCCGATGCGTCTATTCCAGTTACTCGCGCTCCCCCTCTGGCTAAAGTCTCAGTAAATATACCTCCACCACAGCCAATATCTACAATTCTTATATTTTCTAATGGAAGGTCTGGATTTTGAATTTTTAATCCATTGTTTATCAATTCATCTTTTATAAATTGTAATCTCAATGGATTGTATTCATGAAGAGGACGTACTGGACCGTTCTCATCCCACCAAAAGTTTCTCCAAGTGGTAATCGCATCGATTTCCTTTTGATCCACCGTCGACATTGATCTAATGATTGTATTGATACGTACAACGTTCCCTAATAATCTATAATAAATGGTCTATTTTTATTTAGCTGAATAAATACTATTACAATATATTAAATATGATACGATTTTGATAGTTGTGTGTTTTATAGATAAGAAACTGTAAGATAACTGAGTAATTTAGGACACAATTATACATATATTTATATTTCCGATTAGATAATGTTTTTCATAGACTTAACAAACTATAGACCGAGCGTAAGCCTGCGGGGTAGTAATAAACGGGGTAAGGGGAAATAGCGGACAAATTCGGCTATTTCCGTAGATACGGCTCGGGTATGTTCGAGGTTACGGAAAAGAGTGTATGAATCTCAGCGATTTTCAATCTAACATCTATTATAAATAAACAACATTTATTATTTCGCAATAATGTGCCGGATGTTTCCGAATCTAATCAAAGTTTATCCGACTTCGTCCGATATTTCCCCCCTGTTGGTTATCATATCCCTCCTTATTTAAAGTAGCAGCTTATACGCTCGGACTATAGTTTGTTAAGTCTATGAATGTTTTAGGGACATATAACACAGAAAAAAAACTTAAAACGTAAACATTAAAACGTAAACAGTAAACAAATTGTTTAATCACTCATAGAGTCCGTAAGGCGTCAATACTTCGGGAAGTGATTCGGGACCCAAAAGAAGGAAAAAAGCTATATAAACAGGAATGTTCTTTTCAATACAATTGTACTTTTTTAGTACAATTTCCGAAATTGTACTGAAAAGAACATCTCTGTATGTAAACATAGGTCCGGAAATAAGTTATTTTCGAGTATAATTACTTTTGTGTTTTAAAAAATTGAAATTTATTTTTCATAATTACAATAATAATTTATTTCATAGTGTTCCAATATAAATAACTACATGTTTTATTTAAAAATTTTTTTACTTTTTATTTTTTAAATTTTCGATATTTGTAAATGCGATTGCAAAAAACATAAACAGGTATTTAAATAGAAATGAAATAAAATGTTCATAATGACCACTTTCAGCACAAATGCAGGCCCTTATTCTTCTATTAAAGAAATTCCGAAATCTTTGAAAAACATTAAATTTCTTCTTATTCCTTCGAATCCATGAATTATGCTTTGTCTTAAGCTGGCAATATTATTGGACTAAGAATAATGCAGTAATCATATTTACAGATATCGAAAATTTTTAAAATAGAACGTACAAAGAATTTAAAAATAAAATATGTAGTTATTTATGTTGAAACACTATAAAATAAATTATGATTGTGTAATTATAAAAAATAAATTTCAATTTCTAACATAAAAGTGGTTATAACTCAAAAATGACTTATTTCCAGACTTATGTTTATATAGCTTTTTTCCTTTCTTTTTGGATCCCGAATCACTTCTCGAAATATTGACACCAATTATCTGGATACCCTCTATAGCTAATCCATCATGTCGATTTTTTTGTTGCTTACGTCTTACAGCTTACTGCTTTAATGAATAAAGATACTAATTAACTCGTGCGATGAAAATCAGAGGAAGTGAAATGCCTAATCGAGTCTTGAAATACAAGACTCGATTATGCATTTCACTTCCTCTGATTTTACTGCTTTAAATTTTTTATGTGCCATGACTCTTAGATTAAATGTAGTACATAATTTATGATTTAATACATTTATTTAACATCATACCTGTTTTGGAAAATGTTTCCCCATAATCCATTAGAAGATTTGAAAACATTTAAAGCCATCGTGTTTGTACTGAAACATCAATTTGCACTTTTACGCTGAGAAAAAATTTGTTAAATTTTAATAAATATTTTTTTGAATAGTCCTAGTAGAATATTTACTTACAGTAAAGAAATATTTTTCATTTATAAATGAAAAAAAATAATACTTGAATCAAACAATATAATGGTACTTGAATCTAATAAGGGTAAATCTTCGGAATAGGGGAAGCAGCTCCGATCTTCTTGACCTTGACATATGTTGTCAAGGTCATGACCCTGAGTAACTTTGCCTTAACAACTAGCCGTCGCTCGCCCTTCGTTAAAAAGATATTAACAAAAAAAGTTTCAAAAATAACGTCCTATTTCTGCTACATATATAGTATTAAATACTATTCTATAGGTTTTGACCTTCCACGCGAAGTAACTTTTACCCCCCCCCCCCCCCCTGCACAGGGGCACACGACTTCTACGATTGTACTGTTGCTATGATAGTACTGTCGAGGCAGATCTCTGACGACCCCCCTGATCTCCCTTGCACCCGCCCGTGTGTGTGTGTGTGTGTGTGTGTGTGTGTGTGTGTGTGTAAAACATCAAGAATAGACTCATAATCGTTATATAACGAGTGGAACACACACACACACACACACACACACGGGCGGCTGCAAGGGGGCGGCCTCCGGCCACCCCCCCGCACCCACACCGTCGTCAGAGGTCTGCCCCGACAGTACTATCATAGCAACAGTACAATCGTAGAAGTCGTGTGCCCCTGTGCAGGGGGTGGGGAAGGAGAGAGTGAGTTGTGATTCGCGTGAAAGTTCTTTTAAGTTCATGACATTCCTAATGTACTATTTCACATTTTTATTATTTACAGCAGTATAATAGTACGTTATTTTTTGAAACTTTTTTTGTTAATATCTTTTTAACGAAGAGCGAGCGACGGCTAGTTGTTAAGGCAAAGTTACTCAGGGTCATGACCTTGACAACATATGTCAAGGTCAAGAAGATCGGAGCTGCTTCCCCTATTCCGAAGATTTACCCTAATAAGTTTACATTTATTAAATATTCTGCTAGGACTTTTCAAAAAAATCTTTATTAAAATTTAGTAAATTTTTTTCATAGCTTTAAAGGTAAATTGCATCAACAACTCGTTGACAAACAATAAAAAAAAAACACGTAAGAATTTTTTAAGTTTTATTTTTTTTTATAAAATCTAGACAATATTGGATATATCACTTAAAAAGATAACAATGAACATGTAATAGTAAAGTTATATAGTTATACATAAAAAAATGTTTATAATTAATATGGATATACATATAAAACTTTAATTTATGTATACAGGATATACAATTTACTGACTAAAATATTATAAAAAATATTTAGAAAAAAAATAAAAAAAATTTTAAGAGAGTATAAATGTGGAAGATATATTTAGATGAATTTCAATAATTTTGCTATTTTAGAATCTTAAACATATTATTATTGATGATACATAGTAAACATAAAAATAAATCTGACATATGTGCACTTCGTTATATTTTCATAAAAATTTAACTTTAAATTAATTGCTTTTTTATATAGTAGTTTTTTTTTATTACAGTAACAACATACTGTTATACATATACTCTTTACAGTGTCGAGAAATGCAAAAATATCTTAAAACGATCGATTATAGCTAAATATATATAAAAATTATAGAGCTAAATAAAATGTATAACTTAATGATGATGATAGTTTAACTTTGGGTGGAGTCCACAAGGTCAATAAAAGTCCGTTTAAATTTTTTATATGGAACCTTACATTTTTATTGCATATTCTTGTAGCTTATTTTGAGAGCTTTCCAAAACACTATAATATAGTATTTTTTTTCGTTAAATATACATTTCAAATTACGAAATTTAAAAGTTTATTGCCGGCATTTATAATATTTAAAATCTATAAAGTGTCCGACAAATAACTAATAACCTTTAGAATTCTGTTCAGAATTATAACAATACATCAAGACTATTGAAAGTTCTTTCTCTGCTTTTTATTTTTATATTAAAAATAAACGATCTCCACCCCAATGACCTTGATCTTTTATTATAAACGTCATTCTAAACATCATTCGAAAGATTTAAGATATCAGTCGAACATTAGATAATGCAAATATTGGCGACATTGTAACTTTCAAACCTCGTAATCCGAAATGTACATAATGAAAAAAAAATTTTATTATAGTATTTTGGAAAACTCTCGAAAAAAGCTACAAAAATATGCAATAAAAATTTTGAACAGACTTTTATTCACCTTGCGGACTCCACCCAAAGTCGAGTTATTATCTTATCTCTCTTCTTTATCTTATCTTCTTATCTTATCTTCTTTATCTTCTCTTATCTTCTCTCTTTATTTTATAATAAAATAAACATATGTATATTTGATCAATTTTTTTAAATCGAAAAGTCAGGCATTAAGAAATATAACAGTAACAAACAAATGTATATATTTTTATTAATAAAAAATATTACACACATAATAGAATAAATAAAAATTTCTACAGAAATCATTTTTTCAACTGTTTATTTTTTGTAATTGCGAAAAATATTTTAAATAATTAAGTGTTTCAGAAAATAGAGATTTTGAATTTAAGAATAAAATATATCATGTGTTTTAAAAACGATATTCTTATTTTGTCTTCTATTAATATTTATTACATAGTTATCTTTTGTAATTTTCAGTATTTTCTATTAATGAAGTTTAATGTATTGTATTGGGGAAAAAGTCCTTGTACACATGTTTAGCTTTGATAATCTGTTTTTTAAATCATGGTACGATGATTTTTAACGGAGTTATGAGTAATCAAAATCAGAATACTCTTCTTTATTTAAAAAGCTCGCGAATAGCTTAGAAATAAAAAATTGTAGGAACATTAAAAAAATAACGATTTTGTAAAAAAAAGTTTCAAGCTTTCACGATAGATATAGTCAAAAATTTTTTTTTGGGCGCGTGAAAAACTCACACAAAGTGAAACAAAATTTTTTTATCTTTTTCAATTTGTAGTTTTTTTATATGTAAAAATTTCCTAACTCATACAAACTCAAAAAGTATAATAACCTTTCAAAAATAGTGATTGCAAGCTTTGAAATCTTTTTTTAATATTTTAATTTCATTAATTTTTAACGAAGATATTGTAAAATAAAGGTCCTTTTATACATGTAAAAAGACTTATCTCAATCTAATATTTACTTATAATACGAAAATATATATATATAAATGTTCTCATAATAAGTAAGATGAGAGAAATGTATTATTACTTACATAAGTTGATAATACCTGTGAAAAAATTACGTCTTTACCACACCGAGATCACAATATTTTATAAATTCACTATTTCAAATTTTTATGCGATAATTCATGCTTTTCATCACATGTAGAGCAAACTTCAATGATTTTTATTTTATCTATAATCTTCAAAATTGTAGAGGCATCAATCCCATAGAAAAAAAATACTTTGTATTCCAAAAAGCATCGAAGGATTAAGAACTTCGGTTTGCACTCCGCGAGTTGCCATACGTTTATAACTTTATTATTTCACTGTTATTATCAGTTTAAACCTTTTTAAGATTCAATATGTGCTAACATGATAACATTGTGTAATTGAACCAGAACGTTTCATGATTAATGTATACAAAGCGGGAAATTTGAAATTATGATACGAATTATGGAAAAAATTATACGAATAAAAATATAATATATTATAAAAATGAAAAGGTAAATAAGCCTATGTGAGCCGTCACTAGTTATAATGTGTGTGTAAAATTGTATTCTTCAAGAAAATTATACAGACGTTTCGACAATAGATTTTGTCCTCTTCCAGTGCCAATAATAATCCAGAATTTATATTAATTGTGATAATAAAATAAGTTGATTACATCAAATATTCCTTGGAGTCATCTTAATTCAAAATTGTTCTAACGTCGTCTGTTATATCTAGCAAGATATTCAAACTATGATGAAAGTCACTAAGAATAAAATGAAAATAAAATAGAAAGAAGATTACAGCTATTATTATTAAATTTAATGTAGTCACTATTGTGTTTCAAGACTTACTTAAGAACAATTTCTCGATGATGCTCCTTAACAAATAGAAAACGAGATCAATACTTCTACTTTGAGATCCCAAATGTAAGTAAGAGGTCAAAGAGAAATAATTTTTACAATAATAGAGAGTCAACATTTACAAGATTAAGACAAAAACATGTGATAATATAAATATAAACATACATATATATCAATACAAAAATGATGAAAGTAGAATTAAAAATAAAAATTGATAAAAATAAATAAAAATAGAAATAAAAGTAAATATAAAACTACTAATAAAGAATAAAAAATAAAAAATACAAAATATATATATGTTATATAATAAAAAATAATAATAAAGAAAGAAAGGAAGAAATAATTATACACAAAGTATATCATAGTATATCATAGTATAGTGGATCTAATAAATCAGTATCACTTTGTATGTTTAATCTGTTAGTCTGTTTTTTGATAAATATAGCTTCTGATATCAATCGTCTATTAAAAACCAATTCCTCATCCAACATTTCCACTTCATCCCACTTGAAGTCATGATTATATTCTAGTCTATGTTCTGTAATTACTGAACTTTGTCCCGTATTTCTGTTAATATTATTTCGGTGTTCGTTAATTCTCGTTTTTAATAATCGTTTCGTCTGACCAACATGTATGATGCGCTGCAATCTTTGCAATTTATTTTATAGACTACATTTGAACGTGATAATAAAGGTAATTTGTCTTTTTGTGCCTTTATGAATGAACTTAGTTTGTTAAGTCCCATATATGCTAATCTAATCGTTTGACTATTTTTAAAGAATCTTTTGAAACTCTCAGTGATCGACGGAATATATGGTATGGTGAAAAATCGTTCTTTAACAACTTCTTCCAAATCTCCATTATCAGTAACCTTCTTTCCCTCTGAGATTAATTGATGAAATTTAATCTGCAATCTTTTCTTAATATGTTCAAAAATAAAATTAATTGGATAACCATTTTTCAGCAAGATTTCACTGATAATTCTAAAATATTAAAATATATATGTTATGAAAACTAGGATGTGACAATAAGATTACTCTGTCCACTAATCCCCTTATCGTGCCTATTTTATGGCATGATGGGTGGCAAGAAAAATAATTAAGATATCTCGATGAGCTCGATGGTTTCTGATACCAATCAAAGATTAGTCTATTGTCTTTTTTAATTAATGTAACATCTAAGAAATTCAACTGATCACCCCCCACCTCTAAAGTGAATTTCAGTCTGGGATGGTAATTATTAAAAGTATTAAATATTGTGTCAATGTTTTGTGATTTTGTTACGATCGCAATATCATCCACATATCTTTTATAAATTTCCAAATCAAACGGTAAATTATTAATGGTTTCTTTCTCTAAGTCCTGTAATACAAGATCTGCAACTATTGGCGACAGAGGGGAACCCATCGGCACAACAAAAATAATTGTTTATAAAATTTATCATGAAAGATCAATTTTCGCGATCGTAACAAAACCACAAAACATTGATACAATATTTATTTAGCCCAATAATTATTATTAAAATTTATGTAAATATTAGGATATTTTTTTTATAAAGTTAATATTATTAATTCAAATTTATTATATTATACTGTTAAAATACGTATTGAATATAATTAATTATAAGTGTGTGTGTGTGTGTGTG